GAATTGATGGTTATTTCAGGTTAGGAAGCATAATCTGTAAAGCAAGTAAGGAATTGTGTTCTAACTCTTTGGTCTGTTTAAATTAAAATCCAATCCATTAGTTAGTTGATGTGCAGCAAAACATTTATCTTAGAGTTGATGTTGTTGCAGTTTTGTTGTAAGAGTTGTAAGAGTTAATTGCCATTTCTGCCAATCTGTAATCTTACTGTGTGTCACGTGTTGTAATTTTAATGTCTTAATTGAGTCCAGACTCCAGTCCACACTGTTAGTTTTTTTTCAGCAAAGAAAAACAGTAGGCAAGACAACGACTGCTAACACAGAAAGTGACTGTCTGAGCGACTGGTGATTGTTATGTCACTGACACTCACTGACTGTGTTTGCTTTCTTTGCAGGCAGACAGTGTAACAGTTAACTTATTTTAGCAATTTTCAATTGATTTATTAGAAATGTTTTCAGTTAGTTGAATCTAACATATTACATAGAAACATAAGAACCATTTGGTCCATCTAGTCTGCCCAATTTTCTAAATACTTTCATTAGTCCCTGGCCTTATCTTATAGCTAGGAAAGCCTTATGCCTATCCCACGCATGCTTAGAACTTTCACTGTGTTAACCTCTACCTCTTCAGCTGGAAGGCTATTCCATGCATCCACTACCCTCTCAGTAAAGTAACACTTCCTGATATTTTTTTTAAACCTTTGTCCCTCTAATTTAAGACTGTGTCCTCTTGTTGTGGTAGTTTTTACATAGAAACATAGAATGTGTACATTAAGTTAATACATAGAAACATAGAATGTGACGGCAGATAAGAACCATTCGGCCCATCTAGTCTGCCCAATTTTCTAAAAACTTTCATTAGTCCCTAGCCTTATCTTATAGTTAGGATAGCCTTATGCCTATCCCACGCATGCTTAAACTCCTTCACTGTGTTAACCTCTACCACTTCAGCTGGAAGGCTATTCCATGCATCCACTACCCTCTCAGTAAAGTAATACTTCCGAATATTGACACTCTAGTTCTACTGCGTGATTCTTTTTAGTACAGTTTCTTTGTGCTTTGTTTACACAGAACACACTAGTCAGAGAGTCTAGTTTTTTTTTAGTTTTTATTTTCTTCCCATTTTTAGTTTCACGTGACACAAGTGACTGTGTCTGTGTCATTACTTAATTAAGTGTTCTTGCATAGCAAGACCACTTAATGTTATCTCACATATATATTATTATTATTATAGCAAAATTTGCCACCCTAACTCCTCCCACAGTTTTTACACTACATAGACAAAAATTTACCAAAACGTGCAGATTGTTCCCGATCGGATTGCTATTACTTTGTGGAACGTTTCGCCGAATGGTTCACGGAATATCGTCGTTCTTGTGGCGAAATTTGTCCCATAGGAATGAATGGCAAAGCTAGAGTGGGAGCTGGCAAAAGCTGAAAAATCAGGACATGATTTCTAAACTGCCACCACTCCCTCATTTTCAGGCCCACCTACACAAATCTTATATCAAAACGTTCAGCTATCCCTGCTGCCACTAAACATGTCAACGGCTAAGCCATAGTCCTGATAGTTTTCACAATATAATCATTTGTTTGCAACTAACGCCGTCCATTGACTTTCATTGAAACTTCACTCTGCAAAGCTCAAATTTGAAGTGCAATTTCTAAACTGCGACTGTGCCTTCAATTTTAATACTTCAGAGACATACTATGCATCAAAATGTAGGTCTGGGTCTTGTGATTCTCACAATATAAAGCTCTTCGCTGTAGGATTTATAGTTTTTAAAATATGACCGTTTGAAGATGGCAACCACCAAAATACTCTGACCTGTCAAGGCTGCAGCAGCAAGTGATGTCATAGACAGGGCCTTTTGAACACCTGCTAATGTTTTTATAAATGTATGGTTTAATGTAACTGTGCAACAACGTTGCAATTAAATGTGCTATATAAATGATAACAGTTACTCCGCCCACTCCAGGTGTAGACTACTGGTGGAGGCAAGAACACTTCACACAATTTCCCCAGAAATTGTAGCTTTTCTAGTTATTTATTTTTTTGCTCACGTTCAACATCAGCAGTGAGGTTTGCAGTGTTTGTTGTTGTGAGTTAACATATTGTTGGTTTGTGAATTTTTTAAAATTTGTTTTGTTTTTAAAAGCAAGCAGTAAAGTAACTCATAGCGTTTTAGTAGCTTAGCCCGAGTCTCTACTTGCAGTAAGCGTGCAGGGTGTACTTGTTAACAGACTGTGTTGTTAATATTGCTGCATAGTTCCAATTCCACTTTTTTTTCCAATAATGTTTAGTGTAAAAACATATATAATACAGAAGCAAACACACAGTACTTTAACACTAAACACAACAAACACTCAAGCACTTTGCGTTTGTTCAGTACATTTGTCTCTTATTTTCCCAAATCTTATTCTAAATGGATCATCCCAAGTTTTTCCCTCCTAGGAAAGTGAGGGAGTCTCAAGCTCCATCTACCATCACCACCAGTAGGGCTTTTACTATTGCTAGTAGTAATAGTTCTAGCGTGCAACCTTTGTGTCAGTCTAGTAGTGGAATGTGCTACTATGTCTGACTCACCTCACCTCCGTGATTGTTAATATTAGAAAACAGAATGTGAAACATTCCACTCTATTATATTGTAGCACTTGTACTCTGTTCAAAGTAACCCTGGGGTTTTAAATTCTTGGCAATTTAATAAATAGAACCAAATTGGAGAGGAGGATATAAAGAAATGAAATTACCTCAAAGGGACACATATTTGATCTATAGATGAAAAACTTTAAACCCCATAGACATTGATTTAACCTGCTTTCTGTGAAAACATCTCTTTATTGTGTATCTAGGTTATATCGGTTCCTACTATTATATATATATATATTTTTATTAGTATTTTATTTGTATGTTATTATTTTTTTTCTATCTTTCTCTATTTCCACTTTTTAATTTGTAATTTGTATTTATTTTAAACGTTTTTTCTTTTTTTTTTATCTTTAATATATTTTTATTTTGCCAATCTTTTTTTTTTTTTTTAAGACTTTAGATTTGTTTGAAGCAGAAAAAAGAGAAGGAGTTAGGAAATATTACATCACATATGTGTATCACAGCTTAAAACAATAGACTCCCAGAAATAACTGCCTCATTTTTAGTTAGGTAACACAAGAGTATAAACATGCTAGGTATTTGTGTCAAGCCCAGTAACAAAAGTATAACTAAAACATCAAAGATAAAGCTGGCTTGACAACATTGCTTATAGGTATAACATATTCTGACACAAGGAGGAACTGTCTAGATAAAGGCAATTTAAATCAATAGGTTATATCAGGCTAAGCATACAGTCATCTAGAGTGTGTCACATTAAACAACATTAGGCTGAGTAAAAGTGTGGAGCATATCAGGAGAGACAAACATATTCTGGCTAGAGATTTATAGCTAGACGTGAGACAGATCTGTAGATTATAGGAAAAGTAATCAACCAGGCACATTTTTCTAATGATAGGAAACAGGCTAGTGAGGCTTGCTTAATAAGCACGTTGCTGAAATTGATTAAGCTTAGCATTACTTGTTACGTAGGGTGTAAAAGCTGTATCACACGCTAAGATGTTTTTCATAGTAAAAAAACAAAACAAAAAAAAACTAAACAGGATGCTAGCTATGGCATGGATTTCAGTCAAACTGTTTAACAATAGGTTACTGCATCACAAGCTAGTGCTAGTAAAGGAGTTTTGAATGGTTAGCTAGTTGCTAATAGAGCATAATACTGGCAATCTATTCAATCAGGATGTAACATAGCATAAGGACTGCATACCTCAGCCATCATAAAGCAAAGGTTAAATCTGCTGCATAAAACAATAATAATGTCTGCCGTTAGATATATGGCATGGTCTCCCCTGTCTTACATATGTATTGACAATAAGTGCAGTTGGTCAGAACATGAAATGTCAATAATGAAAGGAACAAAATAAATACTCACCGTGTGCTAGAATTATACATGGTGGGCAGGCATTATGCCAGAGATAAAGTCCCGGTCTCCATTCAGCCGATGCCCTGCAGAGGTAGAGCGAAGTCCCTGCGTGGTAGACTCTTCTGGCCCAAAGACTGTACAGTCCTGCGTGGGTAAGAGTCTCTGGGAGAGGAAAGGGAATTAGCAGATGCCCGCTCGAGAGGCAGGGCCGCCAGGTGCTGCTGCTGGGTATCGCCACCAGGAACACACCGGTGATGAACAAGAGAGCAAGTTGTTGAGCTAGTCGGTTCTGCGGGATCAAGACTTGGATTATAGGAGTGTAGGTAGGTCTCCTTTTGTGGAGTTTTGACCAGAGCTGCGCACATACGAGATCGAATGCCTTTAGGAATGGGTCCTCGTGTGTGCACTTGAGGCAAGGTGTGGGGGAGGGGGAATCGAGGTATCTCACTAGGACGTTTTCAGTTGCTTATGGGTAGAGGGATCGGCCGACTGCATTTAACTGCAGCAAAAATAATCTGACATTATTCTACTTCAAAAAGGTTGTTTTTCCATTCACTGTGCGTAAGCAGCATATGTTACCATAAACATAGACAGTATCAGTTATTTCCATAAAGTACTATTAAAGGGACACAATAGTCACCAGAACAACTACAGCTTATTGTATTTGTTCTGGTGAGTAGAATCGTTCCCTTCAGACTTTTTGCAGTAAACGCTGTCTTTTCCGAGAAAATGCAGTATTTACATTACTCCTTTGTGATAACTCCCTGGCCCTCCTCAGATGGCTGCTAGAGGTACTTCCTGGGGCAGTGCTGCGTCGTGTGCAGTACTGCCATTCAGTGTCTTCTCCCTCTGCATGCAGACACTGAACTTTCCTCATAGAAATGCATTTATTCAATTCATCTCTATGAGGAGATGCTGATTGGCCAGGGTT